ATGTCATTCATGAGGGACACATTTGACATATGTTTCACATATTAAAGGCCAACAAGTCAATAACAGAAGTTTAAATATATGCATTCACTTTGTGGCCTGTCTCAGTCCTCATGTTTAAGTTGTTAAGTGATAATGTTTTCTGTTTTTGAATTAACAACCTGCCGAATCAGTGGTGAGCACCATACTTGGTGATTCAAACCCCCAACAAGAGAAAATTAACTTGCATAGGATACAAGAAGTGTTCCTTTGTTTCTTTTAAATTGTATTTATGTCACATTCCTTTGCATAATTAATATTATTCTTACTATTATAGGTTACTATTCACAGTTCATGGACTCCCCCTTCTCCTGTAATAATTACTGAAGTGTCTTTTGTTTGTTTTATGACTTTTTTTAACCAGATTTTTAAACTGCATTTTTATAAAAGCAGATGTGATCCATCAAAACACATTTATCGTCAGAAAAGCGTGTCTGTGTTAACAAACCAAACTCATTCACAAGCCTTTTGTTTGCCTGGCTTGTCTTTTCCTTCCCAGTATGGAAACTATGAAAGTTAAAGCCGTGCGGGATGGTGTAACTGCGTTTAACCCCTTATTTCAGATTTCTTTGACAGCGTCATATTGTGACCCTTGTTATTACTTTCATGACAGTTTGCATCCGGGTCTTCTTGACGTTTCAGCGTTTCAAAGTTACCAGTCAAACCCACGTTCATAAAACAATCACGACCGTGTTTTGCCATAAACCCTGAAATTCACTTACCGTGTCAGTGGAGCGGGGCTGGAGCAGAATGAAGACGGGGACAGAGACACACGGACATCCCCGCCCCTGTGTCCCTTTCAGACCCTGTTGTCGTTACTTCTGCTTTCTGATATTAGGTGCAGTATAAATAAAAAGTTTCGTGGAGGAAACGAAAGTTAGCGATCTTCACTTCCTCACTTGTGCCTGTTTCTCTTAAAGCCACAGACGCGCTTTTAGGAAACACGCCCCCTTCACGCTCTATGTGTGTGTGTGTGTATACATGTTTAGACGTCTTTGTGAGGACTTATGGGGGGGAGGGGGGACAAAATGCCCGTCCCCACGAGGCTCAAAATGTGATTTTAGGGTTAGAGTTACAATTAGTTTATGGTTAGGTTTAGGCTTAGGATTAGACATTCATTTTTGATGGTTAGGGTAAGCGGCTTGGGAAAGCATTATGTCAATGGGATGTCCCCACGAGGATAGCAAACCAGACATGTGTGTGTGTGTCGGAACTTTTAAAGAACTATTAATAATTATTAAGCGCGGTATCACGGGCTGGGGATGGGATGTATAAAATGAATACTGAAGCAAACCGCTTGAAATCCACCGGTTATTATAATTCCGTCTCAGTTGCGCAGTTTGCAGTTCTGTTATAACATCACACGTGTTGTTCTGTTGAGCGGTGGGAGCAACAATGTCTCACACTTGCTCGGTTTGGTTGATTCAGAGCGACCCACCAGATGGCTTTGCACAGTGCGAAAGCTGCAGTGAACTCATTAATTATACATTTAATAAAAAATAACATGCATTGCGGTTCCTGCTCTGGTGACGTCATGCTGGTACACAGGAGTAAAAATGCACAAACTTTACTTATTCTAGAGAAAGATCTTTAGATCCAGACACTGCCTGCATTATGAATAGAAAGCTGAAAGCCGGTTTCAGTTGCTGCTTGTTTGTGGCTCTCTCTGCCTTCAGTAACTGAAAAGCATGCTCTATTGGTCACGAATAAACACTAGTGGCACGGTTCCACTGCCAGCCATACATGCTCCAACTATAACACTGTCTCTACCATGTCTGACAGATGGTGCCGTGTTTGAGATCTTAAGGTGCGTCTCTCCTTCGACGCACAGGTTTTCACTTGTCCAAAATGACTTTTCGTTTTAGCCAAGCAGGATCTTTGACATGCTTTTTTGCAAAGTTTAATCTAGCCTTCCTCTTCTTGTGCAACCAGTGGTTTGCTTCATGTTTTAAACCCTCTATATCTGCATCTGTTGATTATAGATATGGTTAATCAGCCTCCCTCCTTGAGCGCGGTCGTCCCTGGCTAGAAGTTGTAAAGCAGTTTCTCTTAAACTAGGAAAGAGTTCTATGATCATGTTTCACAGAAAATTTTATATCAACAAAACTTTTAGAACCTTTTTTTTCAAAATGTAGAAAAACATTGTGTTGTATCTGTAATAATCCCACGAGATTTCATTGTATTTCATCTTATAGTTACTGTATATTCATTCACACACACTCTGTTGTCCACATTAGGGCTGCCACAAACGATTATTTTGATAGTCGACTAGTCACCGATTATTTTTGCGATTTGTCGACTAATCAGATCATCCATCCATTGGACGTAAAACTTACAGCTTATTGCACCGGCATGCATCTGCTCTTATATAACTATCATTAGCTTACAGCTTTAAGTGTTTAAGCTATGTGCTAACTAAAAATAAAGACAAGATGATAGTTTATTACATTTTAATGAAATTTGCAGATTGTTTCAGTGAAGCTTAATAAACTCAGCCTTCTGCTCATTGCTATCTAAA